CCTGAGACCCCTCTGCAAGGGGATGTCCAGTGGCCTACAAGTGGGCTTTGGGTCTCCACTCCACACTCCCCGCTCAATTCACAGTGCTATCATTTTGTGTTGTGATGATGCCTGATACCTTATCCCTTCGACACCTTGTGGTCACACAGGCTGGTTTGCTTCTTCCATGTGGGCTTTGTTGCTTCTGAGCTAGATGGCCGCTTATTTACCTTCAAGCCTTTAAGACCCAAGACTATATCTCTTGAGAGCCAGGCACCATCATCTTGCTTTGCCACATTTGCTTATGCACCCATTTGTCTTCAGCAATTGTATCAGGGAGGTGAGCACGCGATGATATAATTTTTTGTTCTTTGATGCCTGATAACTGATCCCTTCGACACCTCGTGATCACACAGGCTCGTATGTTTCTTCCATGTGGGCTTTGTTGCTTCTGAGCTAGATGGCTGCTTGTTTACTTTCAAGCTTTTAAGACCCCAGATGCTATATCTTTTGATAGCCTGGTACCATCAGCCTTTCTTCACCACATTTACTTATTCACCCTCTTTGTCTTCAGTGGTTGTGTCGGGAAGGTGAGCATCATAGAATACCAACTTAAAAGAAGAAAGTATTCTTGCATTGAGGGAGTACTTGAGTGGAGGCCCAATGTCCATCTTCTACCTTAATACTAAACTTATAAATAGATGCACATAGATCTATTTCCCCATCCCCATATATATATTTACATATGTACATGCCCTTATTTAGACCTCTGAAAATGCCCTTTGCCTCCTAGCTATTTCCTCTATTTCCTTTGACTTTCCTCTTGTCCCATAATCATGCTCAGTCTTCATTTGGGTTTCAGTAATTCTTCTTGGTTACATTACCCTTGATCACGCCCTACCAGGCCTCCTACACCCTCCTCACCACCAATTTAGATCACTTGTTGTTCCCTTGTCCCTGGGTTTGTTAACACCACTACCTTTCCCCTCACCTCCCACTCTCCCATGTCCTCCTGAAACTGTTGGTCCCGTTGTTTTCTCCTCCAGATTGTTCATCCAGCCTATCTTATTTAGACAGACCTGCAGAGATAATAACATGCACAGAAACAAGCTAGAACAAAACCAAGGAAAAATATAGAACAACAACAAACCAATGACAAAAAAACAAAACAAAATACAAGAAAGAAAAGCTTGTAGTTAGTTCAAGGACTGTTTTTGGTCTTTAGGAGTTTTTTCCAGTCCAGTTTGTTGGGGAACCACATCTGGCCCCAAGTCCACCTTCAGCATTCCCTGGGGACTTTGTTCCCTTGCTGTTCTGTTGCACCCTCTTAGTGTTTTGCCTCGGAGAGGCGGGATCAGATCGGGCATAATTCCCACAATGTGTGTCCGGCGTTGTCCCCTGTAGGACTGCCCTTGTCCTTAACTAACTTCATGCTGTAGTTCCATGAAAAGGAACGTGTTTTATGCTGATACATCTCAAACTCTGATATTTGTATGAATCATGTGGAACTCTTGTTGAAGTGAAAATTCCTGATTTATTGGCTTGAGAGCCCACATCAAACATAATGAAAGAGATATTCTATGCTGTTTCTCCAGAGACGTTTCAGCTAGCCTAATGCAGAAAGGCATGTAGGACCTCTCTGACATCCTTCAAGAAAGCAGCGGTGCCTTGACTTTCTGCAGTGCCTCGTCCTTGAGGGCTAGAATAGCAGAGGAAGGTGAAAGGTAACCGAGTATAGCTTTAATTGGTCTTGTTCTTAGTCATGAAACCCATTACCCGAGCTCCCAAAAGAATTTGAGGGGACTTTTCAGGAGATTACAGTCCCGGATAAGTAGCTCAGAACAAGTGTTAACAAAATTTGGATCATTACTGTTAATATGAGGGATGTAAAACATTCATGGAAATGTGGAATTAAATGTAAAAATAAAATTTTAAATGTAAGTTTTTATTTCTCAAGAGAAGCTCCATCAAGGTTAAGACACTTCCTCTCACACCCCCAAACAGATGAGGCTATTTACTAACCCAGCATCACTTCTTCCAATGTTGTTCTGTTGGTTGCTGCCACCCGCCTGGTGTTTCTGTCCGGATCTCTTTGTCCCCGAGGTATCCGTTTGTAGTTGCCATCTGGGTTCTTCCCCATCATTTTGAGCCCCTTGAGGGTGGAAGCCTCAGCCAAAGTGGCTGGGAAGGATATCATTGCTCTGTTGCTCTCCCAATTTTCATCACAGGGAGTAATCCTTGGCCGACTTGACAGTGCCTACCCCACTGTTTCCCACAGTGGGTGGTACTGGCCCCTAGGGGCTGATGGAATGAATGTGCAAAAGCAGAAACCTACACTTGGATTAGGAGGTCTACAGTATATTATAGTGTATATAATTCCTAGGGTGGTGCTGAGCAATTATTTTTTTCCAAAAGAGGGAGTAATGGGCCAAATAAATTTGGGAAACTATGGTCTATTCATTCAGGAACTTTCAGGTTCTGGCACCTTTTTTGTTTTACAGTTTTATTAACATATAATTCCCATATCACACAATTCAATAGTTCAGTCATATTTTAAAAGGTTTATGTAATCATAAGCACAATCAATTTTAGAACTTCTTTCTTTTTAAAAATCATTTTCTTGGGGGCTCATACAGCTCTTATCATAATCCATCCATCCATTGTGTCAAGCATATTTGTGCATTTATTTCATCATTTTGAAAACATTTTCTTGCTACTTGCATCCTTGGTATCAGCTCCACATCTTCTTTCTTGTACTCTTACTCGTGTGCTCTCCATTTCATCCAACCTCCCCTGCTCAAGCCCCAGTAACTCAATAATCCTGTTACTGTCTATAGATTTACCTATCCTGAATTTCATATACGGAAAAAATACAAACAACAAAACTAACAAAACATTAAAAACGCCAATTGAAAAGGAATCAGAAAATATTAAAACATATTTAAATAGAGCGTAAGGGACATCAAATGATAGGATGATAAATGTTAACCTAACTGCATCTACAATGCATTTTCCAATGCACTTTGCAAGGTTGTTCACATCCCTGGTGTGTGGTCAGAGGGGATTCAGCGGAGGCTAAATCCATGTGCAGACTCTGCAAATGGATTTTGGGCTGCCACTGTCATTCATAGCCTCTGCAAACCAGGTGTTCTCAATTTAAACTCTGAGATAATTCCTTCCTTCAGATTTAGATTTTATTTTTTATACTCTTCGGGTCACCTGGGCTGGTGTTCCTCTCCCATGTGGACTTAGTTGACGCCTCACTTAGGTAGCTCCGTGTTTTAAGATAAGTCTTTAAGACTCTAGATACTATTCTCTCTGATAGCTGGGCAACATCTGATGTCTTCATCACACTTTACTACAGCACCCGTATCTTC